TCTGGGGGCGGTGCGAGGGGTCGGCTCAGATGGTAGCAGAGCGTGGTTTTTTGTGCTCTTTCCACGAAGGGCCGTGGTTGGATTTGATTTTTGGGTGATGCTGGTCTAGCAGTCTTAGGAATTTTTTGAAGAAATGTTGTCGTGGTGGGGTAAGCACACTGTTGTAGTTTTTTATTAGGAGCTCGCCCTTGGCCGAGTCACCGGGTGGAATCTGGTTAATGACTTGCATCCTTTGGGAGCAAGAGTGTCAAAAGCATGGCCAAACCCAAAATTGAAACTGTGTGTGTGTGTGTTTACCTCATCACACAAATGTTAGGTGTTGTTGTTTAGTGTATGTATGTATGTGTGTATGTCGTGAGTGTAAGTCCGTGTTTTTGTTTTGGTGGCTAAGGCGGTGTGTATGGGCAGGTTCTTCTGTTTGGGACCTCATCTGACTGTAGGCATTTCAGTCCAGAGCCTTTAGTTAGTTAAGTTTGTGAATTGTTCGTTGTAAAAAAAAAATTTTTTGTGTGTGTTTTGAAGGTAAGCCGACTGACTGAGAGCAAAATGGGTTTGTTTGCTCCACTGCCCAATCCCATTGCTGGGGTTTTGAGCGACATTCGCCCGGTTGATGGTTTAGAGGTGGAACCTTTGTTAGAGTTTTTGGGAAAGGTGTTGCACCTGAAGGAGTTCCCAGGCATGGAGGACTCAGTAGTGTTGGAACTGCTGGTTCCACTCTGCCTGAGACCTCTTGGTGACAAATTGTTAGACTGTTTGAAACGGGGAGTAAATTTTGACAATTTTCACAGTGAAGTGCTTGAGCTCTTTGTCCCCTTCAGGGTCATGGAGAGATTGAAAGTTGAGAGGGTGTTTCGTCCTCAAAAATTTGACGAAACTCTCAGTCAGTATGTGGGTGACATTCGTGGCGTGTGGCGTGTCCTACGGCTGGGCATCCCTGAAAACCAACTGGTGGACATTGTCTTGCAGGGGTTGAAGCCTGAGGAGCGGTCCAGACTGATTTTTGCTCCAAAGCCTTCTTCTTTTGCGGACCTGGATAGGTTGGTCATCCTTTCACGGAGCGTTCAAGACGCTGATTGTCAGAGGGAGCACGTTGCGGGGCATCTTCCCCGGACTGGTCCCCATCCCGCTGTAGCATCCGTGTGTCGAGGTCCTGAAACACCGCAGAGACAGAGGCATCCTATCGTTTGCTTTGGCTGTGGTCAAACAGGTCACATGAGACGAGAGTGTCGTCAGAGGGTTAATCTTGGGACTTTGTCCAAAAACCTGAGTAGCTCACAAGGGGAAAGTTTGCATAAACCGCCCTGTGAGAAAGCTGTTTTGGAGAAAGTCAGTAAGAATTTGGTTTCTGTGAGTACTGCCCCTTCTGGGAGTGCTGGGTTCGGGGAGCCTCTGTCGCGGGGTATGAGGGAGCTTGCATGCATGGGAGTGAAAGCGGCGCGCTCAACTTGCCCACGACTCAACATCTTCTTAGGTAAAACGGTGCAGAAGGCCCTTGTGGATTCTGGGTCAGCCCGTTGTCTCATTTCCCTTTCCCTGTTTGAAAACCTAAAATCTTCTGGGCTAATCAAGCAAGTTGAGCGAAGTACCCACATCTGCTGGACTGCATCGAAATCCCCACTTCCTATCATCTATGAAGCCCGTTTGAAATTCAAGATTGAACATTTTTCTTGGGTTTGGAGTTTTTGGGTAGCCAAGGACCTTTGCATTCCTGTCATTTTGGGAGCGGATTTCATCAAGCATTGTGGCCTGATTTTGGATTTAGGCAGAGGCCAGTGCTTCTTTCGTTTCGCAAGACGGGTGCTCATTCCTTTTGCGGATGAAATTGTGGATGGTGCAGCTGTGGTCGAGCCTGAGACACCCAGCAAACCAAAAGTTGATCCATTAGGGCATCTGACTCCTGGTGAGGCTGAAGCAATCAGAACCTTGTGTTCTCGTTTTCCTGAGGTGCTGACGCCAAAGCTTGGAGTCACCAATCTTTTGGAGTACGAAATCCGTTTGACTGACACCCGTCCAGTTCGTTCTCATCCTTACAAACTTGCTCCACCCAAGATGGATACACTCCGTGGAATCATCAATGAGCTTCTTGAAAATGGGGTAATTGAGCCTTCTCGCTCAAGTTACGCAAGTCCAGCTTTTCTAGTTCCAAAGCCAAATGGCAAGTCTCGAATGGTTCTAGATTATCGCAAGTTGAATGCTTAGATTGAAATTGACTCTGTCCCTCTCCCTGATTTGCACTCGGCGTTCGATTGGTTCGGTAAGGCCAAGTATTTTTCCGTCTTTGATTTGAACCAGGCTTACCATCAGATTCCTTTGAAACCTGAATCTCGACCTCTCACTGCCTTCTGCGTTCCGTGGAACTTGTACCAGTTCACACGTGTTCCCATGGGCCTAGCTGTGGGGGCCCAGACCCTCACCAGACTTCTGGACTCCATCTTTCATGACGTCAAGTTCAAATTTGTGTTCAACTATCTTGACGATCTTTTGGTGTACAGTGAGAGCTTTGAAGACCATCTGGTTCATCTTGAGGAAGTCATGAATAGGTTGCTTAGGGCTGGCCTTACCGTAAATCCCGAGAAAGTTAGTTTTGCTCAGGCTGAGATTTCTTTCCTAGGTCATCTAGTATCATCTCGAGGTGTCTGTATCGATCCGGCTAGAACCCAGGCTATCAGGGAGTTTCCTCCTCCCCGAGATGTCAAAGGCATTGCCCGTTTCATTGGCATGGTGGGTTTCTACCGGCGCTTCATCCCCAATGTGGCTGAGTTGGTGGCTCCTCTCAATGAGCTTCGGAAGAAGGGCGCCAAGTTTGTTTGGGGTGAAGCACAACAGATGTCTTTTGATCTTCTGAAAGAAGCTATCATGCAACCTCCGGTCTTGGCGATGCCAGATTTCAGTCAAAAGTTTGTTTTGCAAACCGATGCTTCCTCCGTCGCAATTGCGGCTGTGTTGTCTCAAGAGGTAGATGGTGTTAGGCAGCCAATTGCGTATGCCTCACGCACTTTGAACCCATGCGAAAAGAAAAGCTCTTCTGTGTATGAGTTAGAGTGTTTGGCTGTCGTGTTTGGAGTGAATAAGTTCAGACGTTTTTTGGAACACAAAGAGTTTTTGCTGGAAACCGACAACCAAGCGCTCTCGTGGCTCCTTGCACATCCTCGCCAGCTTGGGAAAATTGGTCGTTGGGTGGTCCAAATATCTTCCCTCAAATTCCAAGTGCAACATGTTCGAGGCACGCAGAATGTGATTGCTGACACTTTATCAAGGATGTATCACTCACCTGACGACCAACCTTCTGATCAGGAGGAGCACACTGGGTGTGCCGTCCTCCTGGAGTTTCCTCTTGCCTTTTCTGAGTTCATCCCACATCAGCTAAAAGATCCCGAGCTGGCTAAAATCATTGGTGAGCTTCAAAATGGGGGAGCCCACCCCCCATATTTTCTGTCCCAGGGTGCCCTTTGTTGTCGAGACCGACAGCGGGGTAAACCCAAGGTTGTGCTGCCTAGTCTTCTTGTACCCATGGTCTTTGCGTACTTTCACTCTTCCCCTGTGGGTGGGCACTTAGGGATTCACAAGACCATTGCGAAGGTTAGGGACATGTTCATCTGGAAGGGTATGGACAGGGACATTGCGGCACGAGTACGTTCTTGTCAAACATGCTCGCTAAGCAAGCCTGCTCAGAATACCAAGTATGGGTTGTTGTCATCTGAGGTGGCGGAGAGACCTTTGGAGAAGGTTTTCATAGACTATGTAGGGCCTCTCCCACGTAGCAAGTCAGGAAACAAATTCTTGCTTGTTTGTGTGGATGCCTTCTCCAAGTTTTGTTGGCTTTTTCCTTTGAGGAACGCCACTGCACAGCTCACCGTGCAGGCACTTCGTACCCATTTGTTCCAACACTTTGGAATACCCGCCACCATTGTTTCCGACAACGGAACTCAGTTCGTGTCTCACCTTTTCAAAAGAATGTGCTTTGGGCACGGTATCCGTCATGTGACCACTTCTCCTTACTATCCACAGCCTTCCCATGCTGAGAGGTTCAACAGAAATCTTCGATCCGCTCTCATAGCTTTTCATGCTGACAAGCAGACCACCTGGGATCAGGAACTTCCTTGGATTCAGTTTGCTTTCAATACTGCACACCATGAGAGTCACAAGGCGGTCCCTTTCGAGCTGTTATTGGGCTATCCACCCAATAATCCCTTGGCAAATGTGTGGAAAATTGGCGACCTTCTGCCACCCCCTGGTGCTGCCAATGTCAAGGCAACTTGGCAGGCGGCTAGGAGGAACTTGATCAGGGCTAGGGAATTGGTCCGGAGGAAGCACAATCGAGGTCGGTTGGACAATCCTTTCCAGGTGGGGGATTTGGTTTTCTGTAAGGCTCATCCGGTCAGTTCGGCCGTGGACAAGAGAGCCGCAAAGTTGTCTCATCGGTGGTCAGGTCCCCACCGCATCTTGAAGTTCTTGACTCCTGTCTCCGTGCGGCTGGGAGATCCGCAGACTGGAGAAGTTTTCCGGAGGGCTCACATTTCTCATCTGAAGCCTTTCCGGGGAACAATTCCGTAGGTCATCTTTCATTACTCTTGTGTCTGAGTGGGAAGTGCACTGGGCCAGAGAGCTTGATCACCTCTTCTGTCCCTTGTGCGCTGCTGAAGATTTTTCCCTAGTAAATTTTCCAGCACTGGCCAGTGCAAACCCTGGGGGTGAGTTGTCCCTCCAGTTGAAAGACTTTTGGCGTTCCCCACTTCAGACACTTGAGTTGATCTGTGGTGTTGAGATCTTCTAGAATTGGGAGAGGTTGTTTTCTTTTTTTTTTGGAGGGGAAGTCCTCCTTTGGGGGGGGAGGTTGAGCCGTGACATGTCCACCAAGCGTCCCACCAATGTCACGCCTCAGTTTTTTTTATAGTGCGAGTACTGGCTTTGCGCCGGAACTCAGTCGGTTTGGGTCGGGCAGCAAACCTGCAACCCAGAGTGAATGTCCGCCTGACGCTTGGGAGTCAGAAGGCGTGTGACTGTCATATCACACAGGATTGTTTTTGTTGTTAGTAAAATTGAATCTGTGTAAATCGTTTTATGTTGTTGTCCTTCATATTATTTTGGTTCAACGTTACACTGTTTAGTCTCCTGTTATGTAGCTAAGCGGTTTGCCGTCGTCAGATGAGTAAGTTGTTTGTTAATTTTGATTTGTTTAGGTTAGAAAGTTTCTGAATTAGTTTTGGCCTTCAGCCACATGTTGAGCAGGCTTTGAGTGGGTTTTGGCTAGTGAAAAACAAGTATTAAGCACCTTCTGTGCATTGGTATTACTTTTAATTACCAATTACTTGTTTTTCAAGGCGCTAGACCCATTTCTGAGCCTGGAATTGTTCAGAGTTTCTATGGGCCTTTGGCCAAGCTTTGTGTGGTCAGACCACAAGTTTTTCTGGTTAGTTTAGTAGGTAGTTTTTGTTGTTGTCAAGTTTTCAAAGCTTTCCCCGAGACTCTAGGCCAGATATTACCCAAGAAAACTCACTTTGTAACTCACTTTTGTGCGGGCTAGGGTCCGTTTGTTCTGTGTCCCTGTTAACTTTTTATTAGGCCTAAGGCCTAGTTTGTGCTCAAATTTTGTTTTGTTATTGTGGCCTACAACTTGTTTAATGTAAATTTTGTCCCTTTGTCCCCTGTAATAGTGTTTTTGTTATTTGTAATGTAGGCCATGTCACTCAGCCTAATTTTTTTTTTGTTAAGTAATGGCGCCTCCTGGGGGCCAAGCTCGGTCATAATTAGTTAGTATTAGTGCTCTTACTTGTCCCCTGCAATTTTCTTTAAGTTTGGTTAATAAATGACCGAGTTATTTAAGTTTTAGTTTAGCGCATTTCTGTTTGCTGAGTGACCGTAGGTAACTGACCCCCTACCTAGCCTCAGGCTAGTTGGTAGGCATGGGTTTGTCTTTTAAAAGCTGCGGGCACCTGTGCCACAGCTTTTAAAAGCAATTTGAGCAAATTTGGTTGGTAATAACCGGAGTTATTACCGGTTTTACCCAAAAATGCACCTCCAGCCAAAGAATTTTTAAAATTTTGTGAGAACTGTTTTTTGAAGTGTTTATTGTAGTATTTATGTAACTGTTTTGTGTTTTACTAGTGTATATTACCCTTCTGGACCCTAAATTCATATTTTTTATTGTTAACTAAAAGTTTTTATGAAAATGTCTGTCAGAATGTGTTGTTTAAATCTGCAAAATCCTAGAGTCTATTTATTGTTATGTTTTTAAAGCTTTATTCATCTGAACTAATTATTTCTAGTCATTTTCCATTTTCTAATTTTAAAGACTGTTTTACAAAGGAAAGCCTATTGAAAGAAAAGTATTTTTAATAAAAATCTCATTTGTAATAGTTTTGGTCAGTGAACGAGTGGTGCGGAAATTGTTTTTTGGAATTATTTCTTGAAAAGCTTGGTAGGCCTAATGTTATCAAGTTTATATGGACTTTTATTAGTTAGGCCTGGAATGTGTTCAAAGGGTCCCAGATGTGAGGCTTCACCTGCCGCTGTCCTCGGAGAGGTTCGCCTGGAGGGGCACTACATCTTCTACCTCCTTGGGCTGCCAACGGCCCAGCATCTCCGGGGACCACTATGCCTCCATCTTCCAGTATGGACCACTAAGCCACCCACCGCCTGCCACCGTCAAGGAATCTTGTGCCACTTTTCCGCAAGTTATACTGTAGAATATCTAAATTATGAACATTTTTAAAGGACTGTTTTTTAAGGGGCCCCAAAATGATTGATTATCCATTCTAGTATTTCATAGGAACTGTTATTTATTTGATTGTTATTTATTTTTATAGTATCCAAATTTTTATTTATTGCTTGTTAATTTATTTAAAGTTTAATATAACCGTACCATCCTATTTAATTATTGTTAGGCCTAACATCCACAGTTACCACTAAATTTGTAAGTTCAGGAGGGTAAAGTTTTGAGAAAGCTTAAGGTATTTAAATATTTTTGATAAAATAATTCTTTGGATGGCTGCTTTGTTGTTTATTGTTGATTGTTTTTATTGTTGAATTTTGAGATTAATTATAGGCTTTGTTGACAACTGTTTGTTTTGTTTTTGATATTCACCCACGGCCTTTCACTTTTGTTAGGGATGTGGGGCGGCCACTCGCACTGTCACTATGGGGGGCATGCTTCCAATAGTTGTTCGTCTGGGGGCGGTGCGAGGGGTCGGCTCATAGCTTTGGATAGATTCACTATCCGTAAGACAAATACAGAAATTTCTAATAAATTTACCAATATTTACTGCAGATTTCAAGGCTTTAATAGTTTTTTTTCGCATTGTCATATTTATCTTACAGTTCATAAGAAATGCGTGTCTGTATTTGGTGACGATGGAAATCGAACTATGAATCACCCCTCTAACATTTAACTCGACCTTTTCAATTTGTTATGTAAATATATGACAATACCGTAAACCGTTTTTTACACAGTTTAATGGACACCCAAAGTGTAGAACAATGAATTTCGAGTGGTTGTATTCATTGTGTAAAATCAACAGTAGAAACGCTCCCGAGGATGTTTATTTATTAAGGTGGAAAATAAAAGCTAACTCGGCCTAACGACGGAAGACCCAAACCCTCTTAAAGTAAGTGAGATTGTATCCGTCGTGATTTGTTCCAAACTATTTTCAAGGGCTTAACAAAGACGGATTGGCGAGGGACCGAGTAATCCCTGGGACACAATCTATCAACACCAACCTCGTCGCGACCAGCTTCGCCCTGTACTTCACTGGACGTCCTAGAGGAGCATAAATAATAAATATACAACTATTTGCAGTTAATTCATGGGCTTTTTGATATTTTTTTGCATCAAATGAGTATCCAAAACGTAAAATGTGTGATAATGAGGAATTTACTGTATTGACAGTAACATAATTTGTTTATATTTATTATCAATTCCTTGTCTGTTCTAGTATTCGTGCTCTATTGTTAGGCCTACATGCTGTTTTTTTTACATTTTATTTCCAACATACGTTGTAAATTGTATTATATTAACTTAATTAATTGTATTTGTTGACATACAGAACCTTGAATTAGTAAACCTAATCTCTTTTGTCCTTAGAGAATATGGACCGTCATTATTATATGAACTGATAAATGTTTTATAAACGTTCGTGTTCAAGCCTTTTTAACTAAATACTTTATAGTATAGAGATTTATAGTAAGCACATTAGTGTAGTTCTTATTGTTATGCACAAAAGCCAAATGCTATATAATTTATTTTTTAATTTCACAAGCGCGTTCAAAAACTATGTCTTAAGGCTGGGTTGAAAGCTAATACAAAAAGTCAATAAGTTAATTATTAACTTCATTTCCTGTTAAAAAAATCATTTTCTGTACTTACAACTAAAGAATGTTGTAGTAAACTGAATTTTATGAAGTTACGGCCAGCACTTTTAGATAGCCTAAAACAGCAATATTGAACACATATTTTTCAAAATTTTCCCACCCTCTTGCGCTGGGGGGGAGATTCCATACCCCCCAGGCCCCCCGGAGAATCCATAGCCACTGGATGGCCCCCACCGAGAATCTATCCTGGAGCCGCCCCTGCTTGCAGCATTTAGTTTTTATTTTTTATTTTTAGTATGCACACATTGCTTCGCATGGTTTGTAATGAGTGACCTCCTGCATGTTTTTATTTCAGCCTTTAATCTTGTTAGTCAAGAGTGCAAGAAGAAGTTTTAAATGTTTATTTACTTGTTGTTTGACGTAACCTATTGTTATGTAACTGAATGGCCAAATAAAAAAAACACTTGAAATAAATAAATAAATGAAAAGATAAACACAGTGAGATACTTACAACGTCGCCCATCATTTCTTGGTAATGGTAGACTCCATCACACCACCTCGTAGTTTCTCCAATGTCGAATTTGTCAGTGACTGAAAGATAAACACAGTGAGATACTTACAACGTCGCCCATCATTTCTTGTTAATGGTAGACTCCATCACACCACCTCATAGTTCCTCCAATGTCGAATTTGTCAGTGACTGAAAGATAAACACAGTGAGATACTTACAACGTCGCCCATCATTTCTTGGTAATGGCAGACTCCATCACACCACCTCATAGTTTCTCCAATGTCGAATTTGTCAGTGACTGAAAGATAAACACAGTGAGATACTTACAACGTCGCCCATCATTTCTTGGTAATGGTAGACTCCATCACACCACCTCATAGTTCCTCCAATGTCGAATTTGTCAGTGACTGAAAGATAAACACAGTGAGATACTTACAACGTCGCCCATCATTTCTTGGTAATGGTAGACTCCATCACACCACCTCATAGTTCCTCCAATGTCGAATTTGTCAGTGACTGAAAGATAAACACAGTGACATACTTACAACGTCGCCCATCATTTCTTGGTAATGGTAGACTCCATCACACCACCTCATAGTTCCTCCAATGTCGAATTTGTCAGTGACTGAAAGATAAACACAGTGAGATACTTACAACGTCGCCCATCATTTCTTGGTAATGGTAGACTCCATCACACCACCTCATAGTTCCTCCAATGTCGAATTCGTCAGTGAAACGTCGCCCATAATTTCTTGGTAATGGTAGACTCCATCACACCACCTCATAGTTCCTCCAATGTCGAATTTGTCAGTGACTGAAAGATAAACACAGTGAGATACTTACAACGTCGCCCATCATTTCTTGGTAATGGTAGACTCCATCACACCACCTCATAGTTTCTCCAATGTCGAATTTGTCAGTGACTGAAAGATAAACACAGTGAGATACTTACAACGTCGCCCATCATTTCATAGTTTCTCCAATGTCGAATTTGTCAGTGACTGAAATTAAAAAAAGAAACTGGTATTATAAACTTGGTATTCGAAATAGGTGTTTGTTATTTTTTTTATCACATATTTATAATTACATTTATTATTTATAATTACATTTTATGTATATGTGTTATATTTACTATTATGGGCCTACTACATCCACAAAATGTAGACGGTTAGGTCAGACTCTAGAGGGAAATAAATGTATCCCCTCCACTTGAACCTATCTATAAAATCATACCGTATCAAGCACTGATCTGCAGTGGTTTTGTACCTAGGTCAAGCAAAATGAGAAATAGTTAATATCTACAAAAACAATGTCTGGCTAGTTAGGCACTAAACAGAATGTAGTTAATTAAAAAGGTACCTAATGATTCAGTACCTAAATTCAGTAGTATTAAATTGTTGTAAAAATTTCACTTACGTAACAATCCCAGAAGGATTCGGGCGTTGATCTGTGGATAGTTTTGAAGGATCAGTCTGTATTTCATAATTTGACTGTGTGCGTTAGGCTTGCACCTTAAATCTATAAGCTCTATCAACATATGGTTCTCCATTCCCCACCTAAAAAATATATACATTTGTAGTTAATGCAAACTTAACAAAATACATCAACAATTAATGACAAATAATAGTTTAAGGTACAAGAATTTGATTCAGAGAAATTAAAAATACCCCCGCCACAGCAAACTTGGAAACTAACCGAATTTCCATTTGCATGATTTGATTTTCAATTAAATCCATTTCAATAACATTAGGGTTAACGGGTGTCAGGACTTCTACAACAACTCTTCCAGGGGGAAGGGGCTACAAGATTGAATTATATAAATTAACTTATAAATAAGCAATAATTAAACTGTTGATGTATAAGGCTATTGGAAAAATTTATGAAAAAATAATCTTAGAAAACAAACTTTTTAATTTTAAGTAAATTACAATTTTGTTGTTCATCCTTTTTATTTAGGAAATAATTTTGGTCTGTTCTTTCAACAAAATAAGATTTCAACGTATAATATGTTGCTGTTTCACAATTTGTTTTAAAAGTTTATGTTTTCCCAAACTAAAAGAATGCCCTGTATTGATACTGTGGCTAGCAAGGATTGACTTTTCAGATCATCCGTATTTTGCAAGGAATTGGTGATCTTCAAATCTAGTTTGAATTGTTTTGTTTTGCTTATATATATTTCATATTACAATCATTACAGTTGATTTTATTAACTCCAGACATGTTGCATTTTGATGGTTTTTATTACCTAATCTTGAAATTACTTTTAATATCATTTGAGAGTTTTCAGTCGTACGTCATACTAATCACATTATTATCTGGTTTCTTTTCTAATAATATGATTAGTTCTCTGGTTTTATCTGTTTTCTTAATTTGGGTTTTCTTAGAATTTTACCTACTAATGTAGTTGTGTATCTTTCATAAGTCGCTAATTTTTTATATATTTGAGTTCTTTGTTAATTCGTTTTTCAGTTAAAGGTTTATTAAGTAATCAAGTAATCTATAGATTAGTGAACGAAAAACGGCCCACTCCTGAAATGGTGTATGGTTTAAGTCGTTGGTAATAATAATCTCTGTGTGTGTGTAGTGTTTAACAACTATAGCATTGTTAAATTATTTGTACTACCTGTATGTTATGTTCTTCGGTAGATGCCCAATTCAAGTTTATTTGCTGCGTTTATTAATATTACATCTAAAAATGGGAGGTTCCCATCTAATTACGTTTGTCTAGTGAACTTAATTGTAGAACAGAATAAGAAAATAGTAAACACGTTATATGTATGAAATCTAATAAATCTTATGTAATGTAATTTTCAATCACCTTCCAAGATTTAAGTCTTTCTAAACAAATTAATAAATGTTTAGTTTCCAAACAACCTGGCATTTTGAGTATTTTAAAAATATTCCAGCATTATCCTCTTTAATTATTAACTATTTTAGTTCCTCTCTCACCCCCATCAAAGTATTTGGAAATAGATTTTCTATGTAGATTATAATGATTCTTCATAGATAATCTATGCTAATTCCATAGTACATATTCAGCATTTAGTTAACCAAGAGCACCAATCCACTGAGCTGTTATAGTCTATTCACTGTTAATTGCCTGATGTTGAAGGTGATTGTATCTATTGTTTGGTTAACTAGTAATCGACTATTGATGCAGATGTCATCCATGTACAGAACAAGAAATTGGATATTTTTACCTTGTATAACTTGTGACATAAAAATCAAATAGAGTTAATA